GGGATATGTGCTTACTTTACTCTTCACTGAACACGTAGTGCCATTTTCTCCCCTTTTGTAATTGCAGCGCTCGTTTTCCCCATTTTTCGGTTTTTCCCCTTTTTTCTGTAGTTAGCTTCCTCTCTCCTTATACCGTTTCCTTGCTTTGTTTGGCTATCGGCGTGTCGCCGTATTTCTCTTTGAATAATAAACGAACAAACTCTTGTGTGATCTTCTACTTAATCTCAACTCTTTAAAAAAAAATTTTCCTTACAGATGTGAGATCAATTTGTTCGCTTTTTGGCTCTTAAAAACCTTGATAAAATAATGCCGTTTTTGTTTCAAAACCCCTATTTACGTTCAAACTCTTACATTTTACATACAGATGGCTGATTGAATGGCTCCACTAGAAAGTCTTACTGCTTAAACATGTTGGTTTTGTCTGTCTGTCTTGGCGGGTGGTTGGAGGTCGCCACTGGAAGGTCCTACTTCTTTTCTTTCCCTCTCTTGTTTTTGTCTAACTTGCGTCTTCCCTCTACTATATAACATTATTCTGTCGACGTTCTTCTCTTTGCTCAGATGTGTATGTCTTGCTTTTCCCAGCATTAAACGTCCGTTATCGTGTCCATTTGTTTCTCAGTACTCAAAACAAGTACGCATTCATCCAATATACTGACACCAACGGCCTTTGTTATAACCCAATCCTCTCCCTTTCTCACCCAGGTAGCTCATACGTCATCGTGAAGTGTCCCGTCTTGCTGGTCTCTCATCCGTGACGGCCGTAACAAATCTTCTGTTGTGTCGTCCGCTTTCACAGAAAGCACCCGGATACAGCGAGGACAGAACGGATGTCTTGTTAACCAGGATATAATATAAACTTGCACTCGTAGGTGTCGATACCTATCCTACCTCCCGGTTCTCGTGCAGCTCGGCTCAACGGAAACCCCAAGTGGTCAGATGCTACGAGGTCGTGTGACGGACGCACGAAGCCACCTCCAACATTCCGAAGTCCTGGCCCGAAGAGAGCGGCTGGAGACCGAGAAAGTCATCAACAAAGACGCCCTTCGACTACTCAGCACGGAGCGTGAGCTCATCTTGTTGACCATCATCAGCGACTTTTTCATAGACCTATAACCTCCCAGTTCTCTGGCGGCCGAAAAGCGTGTTGATTCTGTGTGCTGTCGGTTTATCGTTTGTTTCTCTTCTCGAAGAGACTGTTCAGTTTTTTCTTTTGCTGTTTGCAAGTTCAGTTTATGATTCCTTTTGTTTTGGAGTAGATGTTTATTGAGCACAGTCTGTGATTTAAAAAGAAGTATAATTATACGAGTGGAAATAAAGAAACACATCGATTCTTAGAACAAAACTTGGTACGTCTTAATTTGTATACACCGCGGAGAGAAGAATCCGAAAATAATAGGCGCCCTGCTCTCTCGCACTTGACTTTTGTGACCCTACGAAGATCCTGTGACTTTGTGAGAATTTCTGCCCAGACAAAATGAACACAACTGCAGTCGCGGCGCCTCCAGTCTACCCTTCTGCCAAAATGACTTCACCAACTTCTGCCCCTCTGTCGCTGGACGCCATCGGTTGTCCCCGCTCTTGCCCCGAGTCACCCCGATCGTCACCGCGACCCCTCGTCTACATCTCCCGGCGGATCCCGCAGAAAGGCGTGGAGACCCTGCTCAAGGCGTGTGACGTCAAACAGTGGGACTCAGAGCTGGCGCCACCTAGAGGCGAGCTGCTGCACAGCGTGGTGGGCGTGGACGGCATCCTGTGTATGCCCAGTGACGTCATCGATGTGGACGTCATGGACGCCGCAGGTGAGTCTTCCAGAACCTCCCTGGACCTTTTCCTTTTCCTTTACACCTTTTTGTTTCGTTTTCATTTTTTGTTTCTTTTGTTTACGTATTTTTAATTTTGTTCACGTTTAATTTTTTTGAATAGCCAGAGAGAACAGCACCGCGGGTCTTAAAGAGGTAGGATTTACGGTGACCTACCTACGGTACTTTGTAAACACACCATCGCCCTTTTTCTATCTCTTTTCTTTGCCTGCCTGTAAGACACAGAGGAGAGAAGAACATTGAGTAACCCACTGAGTAGAGAAAAAGTCTTGTGTTTAATTTCGTTTTTGGAGCCGCCCCTCGTTCTGCTCTCCCTTAACAGAACACCTGTTCTCTCTCTCTCTCTCTCTCTCTCTCTCTCTCTCTCTCTCTCTCTCTCTCTCTCTCTCTC